TTTAATTGATTTTTTTTAACAGTGAGAGACAGACATCTAGTTTCTGTCCTTAAAATGCGGGTATCCAGTTTTTCCAGCACCACCTGTCCAAGGGGCTGTCTTTTCTCCAATGTGGAGAACCAGATGGCTAAGGCTGTGTGGCTTTGCTTCTGGAAACTTCTATTCTGTTCGCTGGTCCACGTGTCAGTTCCCACGCCAGAACCAAGCTGGTTTTGCTTGTGTGGCTCAGTGACCTGAAGCCTGATAATGTGATAGCTCTGCTGACCGCTGACTGGAAAAGCAGCGGGACTACAGACTTACCTATCGAGTTATTAAAATCAATCACAGAGGTACAAAGCATGTGCTTCCTCCAGCCCCAGCTCAGTACCTTACCCAGCATTCCCAGCTTCCTTCACAGGAAGGTTGGAGCCACATGACCGCCTCTGACCAATGGGCAGAATGTAAGACACTTAAATCACCTAAGGCGGTGTAAGCGCTCCCCGTTTCCCTCTCTACTCCACTCACAGGACACATGTAGGCCTTGTGCTACAACAGCACGGCCCTGTGATGAGACAGCCTGAGACGATGCTAGGGAACAAGCTGGCAGGAAGAACGCTTTTGTGTAAATGCACCTAATAGTCCCAGCTGTCCAGTTCCCAGAGCATCCTATCACATCTTTGATCGGCTGTCAATCAACAAAAAGCTGCTGTGTTAAAGTGTGCCCGATGCAGACCCAACTCCGGAACAGGTCTTTGGGGAGGCACAGAAGGAAGTGGACAAGAGTCCCTTCATTCGGCAGAAACTCTAAGCACCGCATAGTCTCTGATCCCTGTCATCCAGATACTTAAAAATCTCCCATCAAGAGACAAAAATACATGCTTGCTAAGGCGGGGATAATGTGAGTGCTAAACCCTGTGACCTTGCCAGCTAAGGCGGCTCCTGCTGATACAGAGGAGGAGACACTTTTCTGCCGAGTTCACTCTACCTGGGGATTTTTAATTTCCTCCCATGATATGTGTCATGTCACTGTATGGGTATCCAAGGAGGCAACTCCCTGGACTAAACCCTGCTAAGATACAAAAAACAGGTGCGCTCTGTCTGCTGGCTTCCGCTGCCACATCCCCAGAAGCAGGATGGCAGCAGGCACACACTGAGCACCGTGTGCCTGACCACAGTGTTCTTGCCTAGTCCTAACCCTCTATTACACTGCCAGGGAACCTCCCGGTTCTTAGCGGCCTTTCATACCTCGTTGGCCTACCTACCCTGGGTTTACTTAGAGAAAATTAAGCTTCCCTGAGGTAGCATATTCTTCCAGAAAGGCCAGGGTGTTACCATTGTTTCTGGGCATAATTAAAGGGATAAAAAGTCACTTTACACACTGTCCGAGGCAGCTAATGAAGTGAGTGAAAGTTCCTTAGCTGCTTTCTACTAATTCAAGAGTTTTGGGTCTTGTGTTAACATCAGCACTATCAAGCATAAATGCTTAACTCCTTAAGAAACCTATAAATTATTGGGTGCAAATCCTTCTGACAAACCATTACCCTGATATAAAACAGTGCACGATTTAAAATGAGAAAGGGCATATTTTTCCAACCTTGGCCAGTTCACCCTTTGGGCAACCCAGTGGTCCTCCACTACCAGGAGGTCACCATAATCATGCCAAATTTAGAGTAGATACTGCCACAGCATGCTCAGCCCAGAACTCCTGGACTCCAGCGATCCTCCAGCCTCAGCCTCCTGAGTAGTTGGGACTACGGGCATGTGCCATTATGCCCTGCAAGAGAGGTTATATTTTTAACGTAAGATTTAGTATAATCTTCCTTGTGCACACTTGAGCTGCCCACAGTGATGTAAAATACATACTGTACAATCCATGCATTCTCAGTAGACCAAGAGAAAAGCGTAGGTCTAAGACTAACGTGCGTGCATTCCAGAAGATGTGGCATTTCCTTATCACCACCTTTGATTCTAGCAAGCAGCCATCTTGTTAGCACCCTCTGGCTGGCATAAAACCATGAATTCCGAATAACTTCCTGTTCCCACAGTCCTGTGTGGTTGGCGGCGTTGAAGTCAGCCACCCACGACAGTCGGTTAATCCCATGATCTGAGACTGCCACAGCGCAGCGGCCTGTGGGCCGATTCTTCTTTCTCTTTACAAAGCTCTAGCTAATTGCGAGGCTCAACGAGGCTCTCAATGAAAAGGGCCGCGGCCTTTCAGGGCAGAGGCTGTGTCATTGCTTACCATCTTCCAAGGGCCATGGTCACACAGAGGCTCCTTTAACAACTGTCCAAATACCTAAATTAGCCAAGCATTGCTTATTTAGACCCAGGCTTCCCGGCCTAGAACAATGATGGTAATCTGCAAGGCAAAATGAAGACTGTCACATGAAGGCTACACGTTCAATTACGGGATCAGAGTAATGTCTGCTTAAAGGAAGTGTTAATTCAAGCTGACGTTTGCCGATATGCTTCAGTCCCTAATAAGCTCCATGTGAGGAGAGGAGGCTGGAGGAAAGGCTCAGTGGGAGGCTCTTGGGGACGAGGGACATAGGCTTTATAAGAAATTCCAGCTCCAACATCCTTCCCTCAGTCGCTACCCTATGGCTTCCCCGTGAGCAACGGCCCATCTCTACCCTATGGCTTCCCCGTGAGCAACGGCGCCATCTCCCTGCCTAGTTAGAGCAAGACAGCCCACCTGGGAGTCCGTTTTCATAACCCTGCAGCTGAGGCCCTAGGGATCTCCCTAGTGACATTTTGGAGCAGCTTTTACCTATTTGCATTTCCTACTGGTTGGGCTTTCCTGGACTGCAGGACCCGAACTTTCTGTACAGGCATACAGGCACGCACGTGTGTGCGTGCGCACACCCACACCCACACCCACACCCACACCGACACTCCTATTAGGCTGGGCACAATGGAGCCCAACTAACCCCAGCCCCACAGTGATCTGCCAAGAAACCAAGAACTGCACCTTCTAATCCTCTACCGTCATCTTTCTTTTAGGTTGTCAGGGGGATTGGCTCCTATCGGCTACCCTGATTTCTGACACAAGCCAGGGGTGGTGTCCTGTGAAATGGGCCACCGCTGCTCCTTGACAGTGCTTACCTACTTTTCAACACAACTTCTCTGGCCCTTGTGGCCAGTCTTGTTAGCGTGCTGTCCCTAGTCGTACTCACCCTCCCAGCTTCCCCTTCCACCGTTAGGAACAATGACACAGCCAGTACTAGGGAAGGCAGACGAAGGAGGACCTCTGTGAGTTCAAACCCAGCCTGGTTTACTTAGAGTTCCTGATCTTTTAGACTACACAGTGAGACCCTGGGGCTCAGAAAAATGGGAGGAACAAAGCAGTACTTTTCAAATCACCCAAGAGCCTGTGAAAACACCAATGCTCACCTGCAAACTGGGAGCTATGATTCTAAATGCTTAACCTGTGACCAAGATGCTGCCACTGTCCTCAGCTGGAAGTGATGAGAGAGGGGGACACAGAGATGCCAAGGCCGTAAAAGCAGGGGCAGAAGGCAGGTAAGAAGGCGCAAAAGAAGGCTTTCGTTCTTCAGGTGGCCCCTTGGCATTATCAAGGGAATGGCAGTTAATGAGGAGCAATTACCCTAATCTGCTGCTCAAAAGCCTCTTCCCAAACCCTAAGGATCACTGTCCCCATGACCACATCCACCATCACCCTGCCTGTCATCTCTCCCTTGGCTGTCATTCCCCCCCTCCGAAATAAATTTCCCACAAGCTGCCTTTGTTAACGTCTTTCTTTCTTTTCTTTTACTTTTTTTTTTGAGACAGTGTCTCATTGTGTCCCAGGCTGGCCTACAACTCCCAGTGGTCCTGAGGATACAGGAGCGGACAACTAAGCTTGGCCTATTATTCTTCTCTTCCTCACACGAGGGCTCTTCCTGGAGATGACGTTTCTTCTCATCTTGCTTACCTGTCTTGGTTTAGCAATCTGGATTGACGTCCTCATCACTTTGCCCCTCTTATCTATGGGACTGAATACTGCCACACAGCGATCAGGAGCCGCAGTAAGATGGTACAAGTCTCTGCCCGCATTTTAAAACCTTGCTGACACAACTCCTTGTTCCCTAACCCCAACATTCAGACTTCACTGAAACAACTTAACATCACCCAGCTTTGGATATTTTGTAAATTCTGCCTGACACCTTCACTCACCTGCACCTGAGAGAGAGGCCTGGGACCAACAGGAATGAACTACTGCCCCCTCTCCCCAGCTCAGCCTAGGGCAGGGCTTGCAAGCCTAGCTGTTTATGACAATCACCTGGGACCCCCCACCCCCACCCCAGCTTGGCCTAGGGCAGTGGCTTACAAGCCTAGCTGTTTATGACAATCACCTGGGACCCCCCACCCCACCTTGGAGTGAACATTTGAGGTGGGCCTGGACTATGGCCCTTGGAAAAACGACATTATCCCTGAAACTAAGCAGAAAGCTGATTCCCCTAACTCCCCAAGATGGATACAGAGCTCCTTGCTAAGTTTCTCTCCTGAGCTTGTTTCCTTCTGTGATGTCCCAGACCATGAATTTAAGTTCCAGAAGTAGGAAGAGGCCAACTCTAAAGCTGTAACTATGTATCCTTCGCTAGCCCAGGCAATGGAGGCTGAGTTCAGGGCAGCGGTCAGCTATCTGCAGTGCCAATCACCGGCTGGCAAAGAACCCAGAGAAGGCGGCAGCCTGGGAACCCCCTCTCTCTGTGACCTCCGCCCTAGTCTCCCCAGGACACCATTTTCAACAAGCCAACTTCAGTAGTTTACCGGGCAGAAAACTCAAAGAATGCAAAAGAAAATTTCTGGCTGTCTTCTCCAGAAGCATGGCCCACCTACCGTGAGCTTAAGCTGGACACACCAGGCTTAGAGAATCTGGGAAATTAATGAAAACTAAACTCAGTAGGAAAACAGTCAGATCCTGTAAACAAGCAGATTTTACACAGAGCAGAAGACAGCTTAGTAACTGCACATAGTCCCCAGGGGCGGGGTTATCTCTGTAAATGAAAGCATCATACCTGATGAGATCTGGCTCCGCACCCTCATTCTTAAACGACGCCAGCAGCAGTCTCTCTCGGGTGACAAGGTCATCCAGCAGGTTCTGTCTTCGATCCCCCTCCAGTTGTGTTCTGCAGTCGGTGGTTAAGGACCAACAGAGGCTGGCTTAGCCCACTTCCTTGATGTCATGAACTCAAGTCACCTGCAGCAGTTACAGGCTCCACCCACACTACCAGGAAGAGTCCGCTCTCTTTTCCTGACTTTCAGCTTCTCTTAATCCTTCAGGTAAATGTCCGTGACTATCCCACTGCAAATGGATGGTGCATAAACAAGGACTATTCGAGTCCTCTCACGCAAGAGTACACTGGGTAAAACTTTCTGTCTGTTGGTTTTCTTTCTTTTGCCAGCGAGCAGAGTCTACAAGGACAACCTCGAGTCCTTAGGCCTAGGCTACAGGGTTAGCAGTCAAGGGTGTCTGCATACTCACCAATACTCTAAGATGGGGCCTGGACGGTTCCTATCGGGTGAAAACAAGCCCAACACACCCTCCCTGAAAACCTAAGGTCTGGAAAGAAGGAAGGCATCTCCACCAAGTGTAGTAGCTCACACGCAGGCTTCACGGGGACGAAGGCTGCTTTTGTGCAGCAATGGACTGTGAAAGCCATTTCCGTCTGCTCATTAGTTAAAAGTCCTGTTGGACCTTTGCGGGAAACTACAAATGAGTTGTATTGGATGAGTTATTCCAGTACGTCTGGTGTGGCAGACTGGGGTCCGGAGGGCAGAGCTTCACCTGTGGACACAGCTGCTTCTTGCTGTTGTTTTGTGTGTGTGAGAGAAAGAGAGTGAGTGGGCATGACAGGGAGGAGAGGGCTCCAGGACCTGACTCGGATCTGCAGGCCACCGTGGCCAGCCCTTTGCCCGCTGAGGCAATCCCTGGCCACGGCTGTTTCTTTATACATCACCCCAGATCACTGACATCTTTGGTCGGTTTGGGGTACTGGGACTTGACTCCAGAGCCACTGGCTTTACTGCCGAGCCACACCCTCAGCCGCTAAATGGAAAGTTCACTTTTAGTTTGTCTTTCTGAGACAGGTTACTATGTAGCCCAAGCTGGTTGCCAGCTCTTCATCACGCCCCGGGTTACAAGTGTGTGAACTGTGAACAGCTAAGGTTTATGTACTAGCTTTCTTGAAACAAAGTATTAGATGCAAAGTTCTGTGTGCTCTCAGAAACGGAGCTGAGGAAGGGCTCGGGGTGAAGGCTTGCCCCGCAAACCCGAGGACTTGTCTAGGAAAAGCCAAGGCGAGCAGTGCATGCCTGCAACCCCAGCCAGCACTGGTGGGAAGTGGGAGGGGAGACAGGCAGGTTCCAGGTGGCCTGTGGAGCCAGTCTAGCCAAATCCATGAACGGGGTTCACTGAGAGAGCGCTCTCCAAAGAACGAAGTGTGAAGTGATAGGGCAAGATGCCTGACATGGACCTCTGGCCACCACGTGTGTGTGTGTGTGTGTGTGTGTGTGTGTGTGTGTGTGTGTAACCATACATGTATATACACACCAAAAGAGGTAAAAGAAATGCTGAAGAAACTCCATCAAGGATAGGGTACAGGAAGTAAACAGTTTTGAAAAATGTGTCTGAGAGCAGACACACACACACAAAATAAGCCCTTTCAAATCTGTCGTGTGTGGCTTTGACTTTGGTGTGCTGTTTTGTTTCATTAGCCAAATGGCCGTTTCATGGCATCTGAAGGGCTGCCAATGTGAAGCAGGGCCGGCCCCTGACACCAATTCAACAGTAAACATGAGAGATGGCTGCCTCAGAGTCCAGGTTCTCTTCTTTGTAAAAAGGGACCACAAGGGGCTGGCAAGAAGGTTCAGCAGGAAAGGGGCTTGCCACCAAGCCTGAGGACCTGGCTCGGATTCCTGGGCCCCACGTGGGGAAGAACAGAACTGACTCCTCCCAGGCCTCTACCCGCCACATGCACAGCTTGGTGCGAGCGTGCCCTCACAAGCACACAGTACACACACAAATAAGTAAAAGTTTACAAAACACTGCGTGTAGGCCCCGAAAGCTTCTGAGAACTCACAGGACCAAGGATTAGCATCCCTGGCGCCTGGGAGGGAGTGCATGGCTCAAGGAGCCACAGGTTCTGCTGTTGATTTTGTACAGAAAGTGCTGGCTGGCCAGCAGGAACAGTAAACAAACCCAGGCCCAAAAAAGAAAAAAAATCTCCCTCAGTAAGTTATTAGAAAAATCATAAATCTCCTAAACCTAAGTCTTTGAGCCACAGTCACTCTACATATTAAAAAATAATAATAATAAATGAATTCTCCCAACATTCCAGCACGCCACACTTCCCTGGGTCAAATCACCACCATCGCTTTTCCATTTCCCGCTGGTGGCAGTCACCAAGTTCCCCATCTTGGAAATCATGAAATAGTAACTGTAACTAAGAAACAAAAACCTCAAATATTCCTCTAATAAAAAAAAGGGAAGGGCAAATATTGGCCTTCTGATCACTGCTGATCAAGAACAAATTAATGATAAGCTGCCAATAAAGCAGAAAGCTTTTATTCAGAGCTCCATGGGTGATTCGGCAGGGAGAAAACAGAAGCTGGCACCACAATTATACAGAACAAGACAAAATGGAAAAACTGTGAGGCTATTCGTTATGTCCCAGTATCAGCTAGCCTCCCCTGTGCTCTGCTCAACTACCCTGCCGACCTTTCATCTTGTAGAGATTTTAGTATCCGGCCACCTAAGAAAACATACCAGACATAGGATGAACAAAAATCCAGTGTTAAAATTATGCACAAATTCAAAGGGCTCTGGAGTTTAAACATTAAAAGACAAAACTGTACGAGCACTGATAGGAGAATACATAGAAGAATATTTTAATAATCCTGAATGAGAAAAATCTCTCCAGGAAAGAATAAAACCCTACAGACACTGAAGAAAAACCCAGAAGCTATGGCTACATGAAACATGGTGTGTGTGTGTGTGTGTGTGTGTGTGTGTTTATGTGTGTGAACATGGTATGTGTGTGTATCTGTGTGTCTGTGTGTGTGTGTTACACCCATATGAACAGTTCACACGCCCAGAGAGACCACCCCTACCGTGGGTGTCTTCCCCTGTTGCCTTCCACTTCACTTTTGAGACACGGCCTCTCACTGACCTCAGAGGTCACTGACTGGCTAGACGGTGTCAGGCTTTTCTGTGAGGCTGCGGGTCCGACCTCGAGCCCCCAAGCTTACAAAGCAAGAGCTTTGTCCACAACACCATCTCCTCCGTCCAATTATATAAAAAGTTGAAGTCTCTGCAAAATAACATTGCTAATGACAAGAAGTAGGAAAGGACATAGACGAAAGCCTCTGGTGGAGAGACAGTTGCACGTGGGTAAAAGAAACAAACTATCAGATTGGAAAACTGACAGGAAGTCTGGAATGGACTCAAGAACCAGCCACTTCCTACCTCCCTGAGGGGACTGTAAACAGCTTTAGCCAACTGCCAAGCCGCCTGCTATGAACCTAACCAAACTTCAAAGTAACCATCCCAACAGATCCACTCAGACATCCACTCAGTCTGTGCACTGAGAGCACAGACATGCACTACAAAATTATTCACAGACGCTCTGCAAGCGCCCTGACATCCACCAGTAAGGAACCAAGGCGTCGATGCAATGAGGTGATTTCCGGTTGAAAAGCGAAGCTGCTTCTGAGTGATGGTGGTGAGGGCTGACAGTTCTGGGTACTGAAAGGACAAAGGGCACAGGGGAATCGTTTTACACAGAAGAAGCTCCAAAACACACAGGGCTCAACCAAAGTGGAGGGAGAGAAGCAGCAACAGCAGCAAGCTAGACAGTGGCTAGCTAGTGTGCCTGTCAAGATGAGGCAGAGAGGGTTTGAGCGTGCGTGTGTGCGTGTGTGCGTGTGTGTGCGTGTGTGCGTGTGTGCGTGTGTGTGTGCAGAAATATTTCAGAAGCCTGTCAAAAACTGCCTCCAAGGAAAGAGAACCAGCAAGTCAAGAGGTAAGGAGGACTGAATAATGTTCTGAATCGTTGTTGGCTTCTTTCTTTTACCTGTGTACATGTGCACAACCATGGTGAATGCACTAAAAGGAAACAGAAGATCCAGAAACACATTACAAAGTGGTCCCTTTACTACCTGAAGAATTTCATATCCATTTTTAAATATCTACATATGTGTGCGTATGTATGTATGTCTATATTTCATGCCCAAGAAAGTCGGGGACAAGAAACCCCAACCAATCATTCACACTGTTTATGACAAAGAATGAGATGGGACAGGATGGCATGGCAGGGGAAAAAAGGAGTTCTTGGTAAAAAAAAAAAAAAAAAAAGTAACAAGAAATAGATTAGTAGAAAATATTTTTATAATAATAAAAAATGTTCTGAAGTGTAAGAGACGCACATTACAGATTTAAATAACGCCTGGCATGCGCCAGCACTTCGGAGCGATTGAACGGCAGCACGGTCTGGTGACTGGGTCTGCAGAGCGTGACGAAGGAGCCCGAAGCTAGAGGAGCCGCACAGAGCCCTAGTCCCTGTGTCATGGTTTTTCTGGCAGGAAACTACGACCCAGCATGGATGATCTGTCTAGGCAAAGCCCGGCTCTTTCTACTCACCACCAGGGCCGCCTCCTCTGCGCTTGCTGGACCCTGAACATCTAGAACTTGCTCCACACGGGGCAGCCAGCGCTGCTCACGGTCCTGTTTAAATAATACCAGAGTGGTGGGAGCATCTCTGACCCCAAACCCAAACTCTCAAGTGCTCTGAAATGTGTCAGCTTTGGAGCACCGCATCACGCCACCCACAGGTGGGAACTTTCATGACATGAAACTTTGATTCGTGCACAAAACTATCTTAAACGGTCTATAAAATTACGTCTAGGCTATGTGTAAAATAAACATACGTTTCCTGCTTACACTTGAGTCCCTATCCGAGAGGTCTCATCAGGTACATGTTACTATTCCTAGGTCTGAAGTACTTCAGGTCCCACTATTTTCGATAAGGGACACAGCCTAGTATGCCAATGCAGAGTGTCCCTGGAGACTCCCCCCAAAGCTTGGAAAACCACACAACTAGCCACACCGCCTCTTCATTTTAGGTTTCAT